AGAAAAAAAAGTCTAATAACTTGCATCTCGGCTTTGAAATTAGTTAATTTTTAACCAAAAGAAAAATTTATAACTTGTAATGTTAGAACAAGAGTATGAAATTTCTTTCCCCCCACCTTCTCTATCTTTTTTAGATAGTGATGAAATAAGCTTTGACGAGTTTAAAGAAAATTTTAATAATAATGAAGTAGAAAAGGAGGAAGATAATTATGAAATACTTAAAGAACAAGATGAAGTTATAGATTATGCAGAAAATATAGAATTTACACCATGCACTATTATTGATTTTGTTAGAGGTAAAATTCAGCGGTGTGGAGAAACAACAAAATTAAGACAATTACGAAACTTATTTGGTACATGGCAAGTTGACAGAGAAGCAATTAAAGAAGTTAATGATGTGTTGTCAAAACTAGGAGTGTGTGACTCTCATTTTCAATTCGATAATAAGTACTTGCACAAATCATAGAATAAACAATTGAAAGATTTTAATCAAGGTATCATTCAATTGCGTCGTTGTATTTCATGTAACAAATATATTACTTATTTTTCTCAGAGTGTGGAATGCACAATACATTCTTGGAAACTAAACAATCAAAATGTTCAAGTGCCATGTATTAGACAGTATTCATGTAAAGCATTACGAGCATGTCCACCTGTTTGCAAATAAGCTTTTGATGACATTAAGCAGCAACAATGTATTTGTTGTTCATGTTATGAAAATTTAGGTGGTTACATTCATCACCGTCCTGGCAAAGAAAAAAGGGCAATAATATGTATTACTGAAGAGTTGCATGCTAATGATGCAACAAAAGGACTCAAATATTTAAGAAATTGGCTAATTAGTATTGCACAAATAGAAAATAATGAAATTAAAGAAAAAGTTTTAACAAAAACATTTGCTATTGTACTAGTAGTGGAAGTAATGTTGCAACCAGAAGTTATTTCGCAAAAGGTAAGAAGAGTTTCAAATGAAGAAAAAGTTTCCCTTAATGAACCTCCCAGCTTATTAATAATAAAAATCCTTTTTAAAGAAATTTCTAAGAAAAAGGAAAATGGGAGTATAAATGATTATAAGTAACTTGGACGTGAATTTGGACAAAAATTATGGAATTTATGGTCAGAAATCAAACTGAATAAGGATGCTCTGGAATGTTCACAAACAATTCAAGAATATTATGATGCTTTTCCAGAGTTTTTGAATAACTTTTTTTTTGGAATAATCGGTGAATTGTATCAAAAAAAGACAAATATATGTAATTAGCAATGAAAAACCCGTCAAAAACTAACAAAGGAAATAATTCCAGATCAGATAATAAAAATCGTCACGTTTATTACATCTATGCTATTAAATATAGCTTTTCCCCATTTGAAGATTTGGCTACCTCGAATTCTGACAAGTTTTGGTCATATGCCACGATTGCTGAGTTCTTTTCGGCAACTACTAAATGTTTGTCATATAACATCACATACAGATCGTCATGAACGAAAGCTTGCAAAAGACCGAATGGAGAAATCGAATCCTGCAAAATATTTAATAAAAGGCAATAATATTTGGAAATTAGCGATTATAGATAATATTGATTTCAAGAAGAGAAGTTTTAAATTTGGGAACATTTATGATGTCACCCGTGATAATTCATATGCGACTCTAAGAATGGTTTTTCAAATCCATCTGCTATTCGAAATAGAAAATAGTTCGGAACCTATTGTGAAATTAACAGACAAGACTCCATTATTTGGAATTAATAGAAATATTAACGATGTCTTGATGATATTCCAACAAACTATTGATGAATTATTAAGTTTTGAAAGGATTAATGGCAAATTAACTTACAAGGAAGATTTTGATGCGAATACTATTAAATATGCTATTCTTTCTAAATTAAATCCTGGATGTCTTGGTCCATCATCTGATGTTATAATTCTGGAGCCAGGTGCAAACCCGAACTCAGATGATGAAATATTGCGAGTTGCCAAAATGTACAAAAATGATTTTTCTATGAAAGATCATTCTTTTCTGGACATTGTCGCGGATGAAGCTATTTATCGCCGGTTGATTAAATGTCGGAATAAATGGTCAAAAATAAGACCAATACTCAGCCAGTGGCATACATGCAAGGATTTTTATTCTGTACTAATTGTCTTATTTTCTAGCTATGGACTATTAAGCATAGCATCAAGGTTAGGCGTTCGATTTCTAGATAAATTTGAAATAGCTGTTGATTATCGTTCAACAGCACGAGTACTTGATCTAATTTGGGTAGCAGTAGGAGTAGCTATTAGTATCTATATTAATAATAAAGGAATGATAACCTCCGAAATAATAGATGGTGACAACAGTAAGAATATTTGTCTTAAGGTATATAAAATAATAAATTTTTATTAAAACTAATTTATATATAATTTACAATGTTATTTATTTGTATTAATTAATAAATTATATAAGGTCTAGTATATGTACTTAAATGGGCTGGAATCTGGAAAGCTCATCGGATGGCAATGCGCATCAGAAATTTTGATCTACAACGAGATGCTTTATCTGCAGCTAGTCCACTTTTTGCAAGTGCCGCAAAGTTTAACTATACAATTGCGATTGCTCATTTTTCTCTACAATAGCAACCTATCCCAAATTTGAAGAGAAATTACGTTATTGTTGCTTTTTTAAGATTCCTAATGAAAATTCTGAAAATGCAGTCCCTACCTGTTTTGGTTTTAACGAAGCGTTAGAGACATTTGGGGTAAAGTTTATTAAGTAACATGTTAACGGAAACGTAATAGATGAAAAGAACCTTAAAAATCAAATTAAGAGTATTCAAGATGAAAAAGAGAGGATCGATCTTCTAATGAGTGAATATCTTGGGGATAATTCGACTTCAAGTGGTAAACGAGCTGTTAAATTACGCAAAGAATCTCTATAGGAGCTTGTACATAATCTTATTACCGTTTTTGGGATGGAAAATCCTTTGTCTCATCCATTGTTTCAGGAGTATCCTCCTGTACAAATGCATAAAGAAGGACTTGATCGCTTAATTGCATGTTATCCAGATGGACTAGAACGAATTAAAAAAGTGTATCTTCAAGAAGTTTTGAAAAAAGAGCAAAAAAATACACAGGGAAGAAGAACAGCTGGAGTTGTTAGAACAAAAGTAAAGGATTATAATCAGAAGAAAGCAAGAGAAAAGAAGACAATAATTGAAAATCAACATTTGATAAATCCTACTGAACCTGCACAAATTATGATAGTTGAAGGTTCAAATAAACGACGATTGGATTTGAATGAACCGTGTCCTCCTGACACAACCGAGCCACAATTTAAAAAAAGGAAAACAACAGGTAGTAGGCATCACACTACTAAAGATGAAACGGATATACTTTCTATATTAAAAGTTTATAAAGATAAACTTTCAGATGATGCTATTGCCAATGTTCGTGAACAATTATCAGATATTTGGACCATAAAAAAAGTGTGAGAATGGTGGTATTATCATAAAGACAAATGAAAGCAGATGTAAATTCCATAAATTAGCAAGAATAGTAATCTTTTTCATTTCTAATTAAGTAATAAAATCAAAAATTGTGCAATAATTACAAAATTTACTATTCTAACAACTTTTTAATGAATAAGTAATTCGATTGTACTCATAAAAATACACATACTTATATGTTTAAAATAGATTGAAAGAAAAATACAAACTAGCATCTCGGGGTCAAAGCAAAAAAAATGAGAAAAAGTTGGTTATATGTAAGGTTTTTGTATAAGCATAATATTATAAAAAAAAAATATACGAAAAGGTAGCCAGAAACCTTTAGATTGAAAACTCCTTAAGGTTCTTTGGTTCTTGACTTGAAAAAATATCACGTTGCATTAGACCGTTCATTCATGATTTTTTAATGTTACACAAAACTTTAATTAGTGATCGGCAAGTGATCTGACATGACCGCTGACTGTTATTGTCATTTCCAAAACAATTTACCATAGTTTATAAAATTATTAGTACAAACGTTATTCAATTTCTTAAAATGGATTATTTAGTTCTTTGATCATTCGGATATTGTAACCCGAGATTGTGTGATTATATTAGTGACCCGAAATATATATATTTTTTTGTTTTACATAGATAGAATTCTAACTTCTTTTGAGAATACTAAAAAAAAGGGGGGGATCGACAAATATTCATTGTTTGGGTACGAACAATCAAACCAAAATGAGGAAAATAATACTAAAAACAAAATTCCAATTTGGTATTATCACAAAAAACTAAATTAGGAAAAAAAAAGTGTTGTAATCGGCAGATTATACTTAATATATATATATATTTTTTTTGATTATCTCTATCTATCATTAAAAAAATTTTATGCTCGCATATTTCTCGGTATTTCCAAGTTTTCCACACATTTCTATAGAATTCTACAAAACATGACAAGAAATTTAGAAAGGATGATCGACTAAACTTTTTTGGAAAAGATAATAAACTTGGTAGTTTTATAATACATTTGCTTATTTATTGTCTCAGCCATTTGCATATTACGCCTTAAGTATTTGATACTAAAGACCGCATTACCAATGCCCTTTCTGCATATGACATGATAGATCGACAAACCCTTTACAGGGAACTCTCTTTTCCGAAGTTTTTCTCGTTAGATTAAAAAGTATAAACTCAGCCCCCTATGTTGGAATACAAGAAAAATTTAGGGAGATGAAACAAAAAAAAATATCGATCAACAAGTTGCAGAGAAAAAAGTCTTTGTCTATTTTGAGGAACTATCAAAACAAATTTAGGATCAATTAAGGCCATTTTGGGCATTTGGGGACTTTCTCTTGTTCAAAAAATCCATAAATTGTTCGCCCCGCATAAACCTTGTAATACGATGATTATATATAAATTAGTTGGAAGATACTTCTTAAAATCCCTACACTCCTCACATTTACAGGAACAAATAATTTACTTTTACATCCATACTTAATATTCATTTTCATAAACTCGTTCCTATTATACATAATGTCTGATAAAAAAGCAAAACCTACAAGACCTACAAAGTCTGAAAAGTATCAAAATATTGACAAGGTTGATAAGTCCGAAAAACTAGATAAAGCCAGTGTTAAGAAGGTAACTAGACGCGACTTTATTCTCTTCATAAATTGGTATTTCGTATCCCTAACTTCATCTTTTATAGGCTTTTGACGTCTTCGACTATAACGGCAATGGTATCTTGTCCCTCGCCGAAATCGATAGAGCTGTCCTTGAACTCTACCCGCAACTCGCAAAAGATAAGCCCGCCATCATGAGAGCTTACAAAGCTGCTGACGCTTCAAATGTTTGTATGCAAATAGTTAACACCTCCTTATTCATTTGAAAAACATTATATTTATACTATACAATTATTATTGCTCTCATTAGGATGGTTTCATCGACTTTGAAGAATTTGGCCGCCTTGTTGATCTCCTTTATTATTACAACGACCTATTCAAGATTTTTAAGAAACTTGATACAGATAGTGACAGACGTATCAGTTTTGAGGAATTCAAGAAAGGACATAAGCTCATGGGAATAGAAGCGCGTTCGGAAGCACAACTTAAGAAGGAGTTCAATGAAATCGATACGAACGAAGGAGGGTTTATTCTCTTTGATGAGGTAATGAGAGATCTCTGATTTTGTTAATCATATTCCCAGATCTTTGCTTCATTCTAAACTAACTATGAAATGTTTTGCTTTTAACTTCAGTTTTGCACTTTCGCTGCCAAGAAAAAATTGATCGCAGAGATGCCCTAAGTTATATTAAATGTTATTTATATTTTATTTTGATATTTGGAAAGGTTCTTTTTAAATATTACAAAATGAACATATTTATTTATTGTATTATAGATCAAAATATTATTTTCTTTATCATTTTTGATAATCTTTTTTCATGTGTAAAATGTATTTATTTGGTTTTTTCTTCGTGATATCCAAGGTATTTGAATCAATATTTTATTGAAAACTTTATTTCATTGGACATGAATTGTTAATTCCTACAATTCCTACGATGTAATTTTGATAAATGTTTTAAATAAAAACAAAAAAAAATCTTTGACATAAACCAAGAATAGTCAATATGGTCCAAAAAATTGGATGTCGGGTTGCTAAAATGATATCATACCATGATAAAATCGTATTAAATTCACAGCAGAACAAAAGACAATTAATCAATAAACCTAATATTTATATCTAAAGTAGGTATATAAGCGAGAAATGGCTTCTAAATTTTAACCAAAAGTCAATTCATTGTTTATTGTTAAACGCTATTGCTGACTAACAAAAAAGTAAGGTAGAATGTAGACCATCATAATATGGAATCCTAATTTATAAACATAAAATTAATAAGTAATACGGAAAGCAAATAGATTTTTAATTTACGTTTCATTCCCAAATATAATTAGAAAATTGATTTACTAACATACGTTTTTTATTTTGTAGAATACTCTCGTTTAATTGATTGAAATGGATGTTATGATAAGTTTGATTTAAGCAGAGCGGATAAAAAGATCAACTGATGAAACTTACCTCCTTAATATATGATATACACCGCATGTTCTTGGAATCGTCAAGTATGATCGCGTCATGGAAATCCGGTCAATTGATATTCACAGTGTTTCCTATAAAAAAGCTATTAATCCATCTTTGGTTAGACTTCTACCGCCATTGTTAATGATAAAAATCAAAACCCCTTCCAATCAACAGATTGGCGATCTATCAAAAGCATAACTACCATTTGCGAGAAAGAAATATACTATGGCTATGATGCGAGAAATTCAAAGCTAGAGAAAACAAACACTTTGATACCAATCCTTGAATCGTGACCACCCGGACTTAGTTTTTTTTTCCGAACAAGTTAACACTTACAGATTATTTTCAGAGAAAGACTTTTTGTAGTTAAATCTGTAGGAAATCGAAAAAAAACTATACGTTTAAACAGTACACTCATTTGTTATATAAAGTAATTAATAAATTTCATTTTATCAAAGAATTTAACAGAGTAAAAATCGAATCATTGTATTTAATGTGTCTCTAACTGCAAATTAACTATTATGCAGCTAATCACATGAATAAAAAATTACATTAATTTCAAAATAGTCAAGGTCGGATAAATAGTTCAATATTTATGACATTAAATTTGAGGTTTCGTGATTCTCATAATTATCACTAAAGGCTGATATGTACTGTTGTATAATAGGTTTCTCATCCATACGAACAGATTTTTCAAGCATCTTTAATCCCCATCTAATTTTCATACGACTTTTAATTCATCATCTGAATTATATCTAACATTCTCTCATCACAAAATATAACTTCTTCCATGAACTTTTCCTTTTTGAAAATGGTCCTTCTTCAATATTGATATCTTGTTCTAAATTTCTAACTCTTCTTTTTAAAAATTTTCATAAAAATTCGTCTCCCTCTTCATACACAAATCGTCTGATTAAACCTAATGCCTTGCCACGGTCATCAATTACTGCTTTTGGAATATAATATTTATCATTAGGTTTGGTTATAAAGAAAAAAAGTCCACTTGTCATTGCAATCTGTTAACACGATAATTACGCGTAATGCACTTGCATCATTTGCAATAAATAATTCTCCTTTAGCTTGAGATTCATTTAATACTTGGATTGGTTTTTTTGTTTCTAAATAGACACATCATGTTCGACTTGGACCAATCGTAATATATAATCCACCACGTAATACAGTGTGCGAGCTATTTGATTCTTTCTTTGTAACTGTGTGAACATCTAAGACCTTGTAATCTTCACCTGTTTAATTTATTTTCAAGCCAGTTTTTGACATCCTGCATTTGTATGTCTTCACCTTTATCCATATCCAAATTGATGCCATCGCATCCTATGGTGGTTATAGGACTGGGAAATATTCAATCCTAAGCTTTATATATAAAAAAAAGAATGAGAGTGAATATATGGGGAAAGCGCTTTTAGTAGCAATTATCATACATATTTCCACATCACCAAGATTCATAATTTTCTCTATTTTGTTAATATTGGTACCACTCGGCGTTGATACACTTATACTTCATATTGTTTTTCTGCCAGCTTCAATTACAGCATTCTTTACGATCTCCTGCAAACTCCTATGATCTATAAAAAAAAAGACAGATAAGATTAAAGTACTATCTAACTGATACTCTAGCATCAGAATAGAACCTTACCTTGCGTTTGATACGTTTGATACGTTTTTATCGCGACAATCAACAAGAGTATTATTTGCTCATTACTTACCTTTAAGAGTTTCAATCAAATGTGCGATTGATTTTGCTGGTTCTTTAGGCCATCATGAATAAATTTTTTTCGGTTAGAAGAAGGTTTGCTTGGCCGGAGACCTATTGATCTTGATGGCTTCGAGTGCTTATCATCTATATCTAGCTCCTCTTTCTTCTCGTGTACAAAAATTTATACCATCGGCTCGCTTCCACATTTTGATTTTTAACGCTTGGAGTAGTTATAGTAACCTCTCTGTCTTGTTGCTTCTTCATAAAACAATACTATAATATACCCACTTTACCTGTAGATAGTAGGGCAATGCTATTTCCTCGGACTTTCCTTTACCTTTCGAATATGTACCAACAGCGATAGTTTGTGCGTTCTCCTTGGGGACTATTTTTTGCTGAATGAGTAGGATATCTACAGAGAATGCATCTATTTACCCATCGTTTTTGGTGGCATCGTTGAAGTGTTACGGGATACAGCATTTTGATTGTTGGCCAAGTCACGTCATTTCTTACCAAGAATGTCCAATCAAATTTTACACATGATAAATAGCATCAATATCTGTTCGGAGATTTTAACTTCTTAAACAATTCCACAATAATTTAAAAAATAATGTCAACTTTACTTTCTATTCAATCTGTAAATAACTTTTCACTTTGCGATCGTAATTTGTTTTGTTACGATCACTCGAATCAGGATGCTTTTTTTAACGAAAAGCCTGAGCGACAATATCGATCAGTGATTGTAACTTTGTTTAGTAACAAAAGGACAATGTGTTTTATTTTTCCGACTGATGCTCTTATAACCGTGTTCGATGTTAAACAAGTCGTTTATAAACGACTTTTATTTGAACCGGAATTTCAGTATCTTTATACAACTTCAGGGAAGCTTTTAAATGATTACGCTCCTATATTTGAAAAAAGCAATGAAGATTTTATAAATATTACTCTTAAAATTCCCCTCCTTGGTGGAAAGGGAGGGTTCGGTTCTATGTTAAGAGCACAGGGAGGTAAAATGGCAAGCCAAAAAACTACTAATTTTGAGGCTTGTCGTGATTTAAATGGGCGTAGGTTGAGGACCGTTAATGAGGCTAGAAGGTAAGAAAAAAAAATTTTTTTTTCTTCGATCATGATTATAACTTGTAAGATTTAACATGGCAATATATAATATTTTTTTAGACTTGCCGACCATCTTGAGCAAGAACCAGAACGTCAACGAGCTAAAAAAGAAAAAGTAAAAAAGAAGATCGAGGAAGGCATGCGTGAACCTTCAATTAAAAAACATCGTTTTGATGACAATGATTATTTAAGGGCTAGCGAAGAAATGAAGGAGAAGGTACAAAACGCAGTCGCGGAAGGTAAAAGAATTAATTCATTATAAAATCAATCATCTTTATTACTTTTGATAGAACGTTTTACTAACTAATATTTGCTTTTTAGCACTTCAAAAGCCAACCTCAACTATTGAAAATTCTGCTTCTGATGGTTCTTCAAATAATGCTACCGTCTCATTATCAATGTGGTAAGTATTCACTTATTTTTAATTTTCCATGCATTTTTAAATTCAAAATTAAAAATCTTGTTCACATCATCTTTTTAATATTACAGGGATGTTGAATTAAGTGACTCTGATAATGAAGGTTCCGATGTCGAAGAAAATACAGATATTGAGGATAATCTGGAGGTTGTAGCAAGTAAGGAGGAAGGGAGAGAAAAAAGCAAGGATACAAAGAAGAGAAAATTGTCGGAAATCTAAATAAAAATTCGTAAAGTTAAATTGTTAATTTTTTTTAGAAATTCTTTAATGTAATAATATAATAATAATAAGACTAAGTATACGTGTAAATTATTATTAGATAATAAATAATATTGCTTCAAAAATTGTATAATCCCACTTTTAATTATATAAAATTGGTATCCAAGGAATAACAACGCTAGACCCTATTTTATACATAATTAGTTGACCATTACTTGTTAATTTTTTTGAGATATCCCGAATTTATCAATTTTGCAATTGCGGAATCAGCTTCTCTAACCACGGCCTGACTTCCCTTAAGGAATTCGACAATGCCATTCTTAGTCATCACTCCCTCAAGATTTTCCATCACTCGAACCACCACATGAGGTTCTTTTGGTACATGTAATTCATCGTTAAAGTAAAGAGACTTTGGACAATTACTTTTGTAATTATCAACAAGTTGTTCATATTTTTTATAAAATGTTTGTTCCCATTTAGTTAATCTATTGAATTCATTTTGAGGCAAACTCGTTTTTCTACACGCAGCTTCTTTATTCTTTCGAATCCTTTGAAAATGATATAATTGAATCGCGTTCAATTCTTTTTCCTTCATAGAATTATAAACACATAACTTTCCAGGCGAGTGAACTTCTTCAGAGGTCGACTCAGTATCGTTAATTTCCTCAGTTGCTTGTTTCAAAACTTTTATCTCTTCACATATTTCTTGAACTTTATCCCTCTCATAAAACAGTATGTTTTTCGTTTCCCTTGCTCGTTTTGTGATGTCGATGAGAGGTCTGATAGCAGAGTTAGTATACATTGTAATCTAATTCAAATCTTTGACAGAACGCGTAAAAAAAAAAAAAAAAAAAGTTGAAATGATTTGGTTAATGTATTCACGTGATTTTCTTTTTCGACTTTTGTTTTTTTAAAGCCTAAGCAAATTTGTGACATGTAAAACCACCAATGATCGTTGAGTACGTAATTAGATGAAATAATTAGCTTTAATTTTTTTTAAAACCAAAAATTTTTAACGGGTCATACTCGTATTTACCAAAAAAAAAAAAAAAATGAGACGGTCTTTTGTATGCATTCTCGCGTTGTCATGGCAAATCTTTGCTTTGCTTATGTGCACAACAATATCGGCACAGGATAGTGAACGCGGTTTTATCCTATCTGATTTAAAGCTAGCTGTAACAACGTCCGAAGCCCGCAGAAAGCTAACCGAAAGGTATCTTTTAACCTATTAATACAGTTTTTTTTCTTTTGATTATTCCTACGTAATAATTATTTTAATCCTTTATTTAATAAAAAAAAAAGTTTGCCATATCCTTCTTCACTTGATAAATTAATCGAACTATCACAAGGAGATAATTTAAAAATGATTTTTACCATTCAAGATAAAGCAACTAAAAGAGGAATTCAACCTCATCAATCCTTGTTGGTTTTAAGTTCTAATCAAACGGGATCTCAAATACCGATACTTGTAACAGTAAGAGAAACTGGTAAAGCTCGCGCCGAATTAAATTTGAAAACAATTCCTGGAAATCTTTTTTCGGGAAATTACTCGCTTAACCTTATCATTGGAACTTTTTCACACGATGATCCAATCAATTACCACATTGGAACTGTAAAGATCGATATACCAACCACATACTCTGCTCCGGTCAAATATGGTCCCAAACCTGAAATTCATCATATTTTTAAACCTGACCAAAAATTACCTCCAAAATTCCTCTCATACAGTTTTGTGGTTATAGTATTAACACCTTGGTTATTTTTAATCGGAGCGGTATTTATTTATTCATTAAAATTTTCAAATTTTTTCAAATTAATTTTCAAAAATTACTAATTAAAAATCAAATCTCTTTTTTCTTTTCCTATAAAGTGGATACAACTTGGTGTTAATGTTTCATTCTTGACAAGTGAACCCGAAACTCTTCCAGCTATAATTGGTTTCTTGGGCACATTATCAGCTATTGAAATCCTGTTTTATAATTATTGGACACATTTGAACATTTTTCAAACATTATCATGGCTATCAGGATTAAGTGCTTTGGCATTTTTCTTGGGTCAAAAGGCTTTAAGTGATGTACAAGAATGGAGGCTTAAAGGACTTCGATAAATCGTTTATTTCAATCTATTATAATGTTATGATAATTTTTTTTTTATTAGTTGATTAAAAAAAAAGATATCAACTATTTTAAAGAAAAAGGAAAAAAAATTACTGATTATAATTGTAACCCACACCTTATTTCAGATGATGTAGCCAAATTCCAATTAATAATAATATTTCTTAGAGTAATTTTAAACTTCCCTTCAATAATGGCTTTTTATATAAAAATGAATATTATAGAATTAGTGTATATTTTCTTTTTTTTTTTTTTTTTAGTAAACAAATTACACTCTCTCATTTTCTTTTTCTTCATTTACAAAAAGTATCATCTCTTCAAGACAACGTTCAAGTAAATCCTGTGTTACGGGATCAACAGGACGTATGCCTAACGACTATTTTTTTAAGATAAAATGTTTTGGCGTTAAAATGAGTGTCAATGGAAAGCCTTTGATTCGTTATCAGAAAATAATGTAAACATAAAACCTCATGATAATACAGGATCGCTTCTTCATACTCTTCTTTCACGTGATAACAGTAACCGATAGCTGTTAGCGCGCTTGGACTCGGTGTGGTCATGGTTGTAACTTTCTGAAAATAATTAATAGCAGCATCCAGATCACTGGTATTATTTGAAGAGAATCATTGGATTTATTATATGATTTCATAACGCGAATAAAAAAGAAATAAACACTTGCCCCATCCTTTTAAATGCGTGACCAAGATTCATCCAAGTAGTTTCCCATATCTGAGGCCTACATTTTGTTTCATCTACTAATATCAAAGCTCTCCTAAAATTATCAATAGCATCAGCATATTTGGACTTTTGATAAAACATTACACCCAATTCGTTATACACTAAGGGGTCTCCTTCACAAAGTTTGGAGCTTGTTGACAAATATTCATCAGCCGACAAAATATTATTTGCTTGAAGATGTTGCATACCAATGAAGAGGCTTGGGATATGTGAACTGTTTTAAAGGAAAAATTCATTTTATCCCAACACTTGATTTCAAAAATTATAAATCGAAAATGTGAGTCCATTTTAAAATTAAATACCCTTCATATAATTTTGCCGCCGTAGAATAAGCTGTTATGGCCTGATCATGCTCAGATTCCACAGCGAATGAATGGCCAAATCCTATCCATGCTGGTCCAAAATGCGAATCCATAGTCGATGCCTTGCTATAACAAGCATTAATTGATTAATTATTTAATTGACAATCCTAAAATTTTTTTTTTTTTTTTTTTTGCAAAGTACCTAAAATATCTTCTAGCCTCATCATTTTTTCCTACTAGATAGTTATAACATCCAACTCCAAACCATGTCACCGGCATATCCGGTGAATGTTCCACAAGTTCATGGGCTAATAAAAATAATTTATTCTTCTCCCGCAATTCATGAAGACAAACTATATGGATTGGAAGACAATCTGGATTGTGCGTATCGAATTCAAGAACCTTTGATGTAATTTCAAAGCACTCTTTGAATCTACACTGCGTATATAACTCGTCAGCATGACTTAATAAAACATCGACATTATTAGATAATCGCCAAGACTCTAATTCATGTCGTGCTGCTTTGATTTCCGTAAGATGATCATACTATAAAGTAATATTGAAATTAAAATTTGGATTGAAAGATATATTTTTCATTTCTGTAATACCTTGTTAAGCATTGATATATAGTTCATTTTCACGAATTCCGCTTCCTCCCTGTCCAGTTGTTCATCATACTTTAATTTAGTAATAAAGTCCCATTCTATAACGTACAATAGTTGATGATGACAGGAAATTATGTATCATATAAGTACGATGTCGACGATAATAAATAAGAGAAAATCCATTATATAAAATAGAATAATTAAATACCTTCATTGGCTGTCATCATATGATTCCCGATCAATTCATGGAATGCCTATCGTTTTAGAAATGAATTTCATTGATTTCTTTTTAACGTGAGTGGAAAATCCACCACTTGTTACTAAATTTTTTAGGTGATAAACCATTTGTTTTCGTGACAACCAACCTCATAGCATTTTACATCCGACTCTAATGCCTCCTTGAAACATTTTTTTGCACAGTCAAGATTGGCTTGTTGGGAGAATGCGTAACCGCGTAGATAACACATAGACGCTTCGAGCTACATAAAGAAAAGTTGATATGACCTATTAATTTATCAACATGATAATTGGGTTTCAATTATTCATATAATCTAACCTGAATGCCTCCCTCCGTATTTTTTACTTCTAATCTATAGTCTTTAACCAAAATTTAAAACTCGGTTATAATTTGTTTTTAAACAAATAAACAAATAAAATAATGAATTTAACCGGAATTAATGATAACGTACCATCAGTAAAAGGATTTTCTTCACCTAAAAGTTCTAATGCTTCCTGATATTTTTCCTGTTTGATCTAATAATATGACAACTTCGCCTCAATAAATAATAACAATGATAATAAAAAATAAAATAAAAAATAAAAGGAAATAAAAGGAAATAAAAAGGAAATTTAATGATCAAAAAAATATGGAAATCTTATTCTAAGCAAAATAATAATAATAATAATAATCGAAATAGACAATACATTTCAAACTCGAATTATTATTACTTAACACTGATCAATATACATTTTCATACTCACGCAACACTTTGCGGCTAAAAATCTACAAGTGACACTAGTATCCATTAATTTCCAAATTAATTTTTGAGCTCTAACATATTGTCCCATATTATAGTATATTTGTGCTAACCAATATATATCATTTGAATCGCCTGCAATAAAATGGATCAAAGTTAAAAAAAAACTTGCCTGCTTAATAATAAAAAACCACGAATAAAAAAATTACCTGTAATGGTCATAACTTTATTTCCCCAGAACGCTGCAGTCTCATACAAATTCTTCAAATAAGCATCTTGCCTCCAATACCTTAATTTATCATCCAACTTAAGATTTACAACACTACTAGATAAAGTGCTGGCCATGCTTGTTCTAGCGTCATAGTATGGAGAATTTGTAAGCATGGGTGAGCCAGCAAAAATATTGTCAGCATTCCCGCTGAGGTTAGCATTCTGATTATTGTCTTTATTATTTTGACTGCTCGTAAGAGTTTGTGGATATTTAAAAGGTGGAGGTGGTGTAGCTATAAGACTGGGTGTAGCCGAAGAACTAATGTTACGAAGAAAAGAACGTGGTGTGGCTAAAGGGTCTAGGAATTGAGGACTATTACTAAGACGACGTGGTGGGCTAGTCATCGGATTTGTCGCGTTTGTTCCAATATTTGTATTGTTATTCATGTTATGATTTGTGTTATTTGTATTCGCATTGCTGGGACTAATAATATTATTGATGCTCATGGTTGGAGACGTTGGGTTATTGTTGTGAATATTATCGTTGTTAACGTTAGTGTTCATATTTGACCAAAAAAAAAGGTTTTGTTTAAACTCCCTCATAAACCACGTGTATGCTTAGATATGTTCATGCATTGATAACGATAATCTGATGCATAACCTTTTTTTAGTTTTTGAGAGAAATAATCCATGGTTAAATTTACCAATTTATCTCATATTTTAAAAATGTCAATTAATCATATTATCAAATCACGTAAAATGTTACAACTTTCTGAAGCGGAAAAATATTCAAATTGGACAAAAGAACAACTTATCGAAAAGCTTCTATTATACGAAACAAAACTTCAAGAGACAACGTTAAACCCTGTCACTAACTCTCAGTTAACAAATTCACCAATTTCCACAAAAAAATTAGATAAAAAGAAACAAAAATCGTCCGATAGACCTTTTGATTGGTCAAAATATTCAAAAAGGCACATCGCTTTAAAAGTTGCTTATTTTGGTTGGAATTACCATGGATTTGCTTCACAAGGAAACGAAGGTGATTTTCCTACCATCGAAGGACATTTGTTTAATTCCTTAATAAACACAAAATTAATATCTGACCCATCAGATTGTAACTTTTCTAAATGTGGTAGAACTGATAAAGGTGTTAGCGGATTGGGTCAAGTAATAACTTTAAATGTTAGATCAAACCTTCCAAAAGATCCTCCTGTTATATTAGAAAGTAATGATACTATTACCTCCGATATAACAAATAATAATAAAAACGATGGACAAAGGAAAGTTGAAGAAGTACCATATGTTGAAACTTTAAATAGATCCTTACCAAATGATATTAGAATATTGGCATGGGCTCCTGTTGATGAAGATTTCGACGCACGATTTAACTGTAAATCTAGAAAATATAAATATTTCTTTGTTCGCGGAAATTTAAACGTAGAATTAATGCGTGAAGCGGCAAATCGATTTCTTGGAACTCATGATTTTCGTAATTTCTGTAAGATTGATGGTTCCAAACAAATCACTAATTTTGAACGTACTATACTTGAAGTAGGTATAGATCTTGTACGACATCAAGAGAATTCTTTCAAGGAATTTTATGTATTTAATTTACGCGGAACAGCATTTTTGTGGCATCAGGTTAGATGTATGATGGCAATTCTTTTTTTAATTGGTCAAAATCTAGAATCTCTATCAGTCATTGAAGAACTCTTGGATGTTACAAAAACACCTGCCAAACCAAATTACGAAATGGCAAGTGAAATTCCTTTGGTATTATACGATTGTGAATTTGATAATCTGGAGTGGCGATATGGACGTGATTCCGACACTTTATACGATACTCCTTTAAGACTTTACAACCATATTTATGAACAATGGTATATCCACATGACAAAATCTTTAATTTATTCAACATTCATGGAAGATCTTGATAAAATAACACATCTAGCTGCCAATAAATCAACTTCAATTATTGTTGGAGGTGGTAAAGAACGTAGAATTCGCAATTATACAAGGATGTCAAATAGAAGAACGTGTGATACAGCGGAAAGTAAGAATGAAAAATATAATGTAAAGAGAATCAAATTGGATCAAAAATAAAACATGTTCGAAAATAATATATATATTGATACATACATATTTGCATCACGTACAA